TCTAACAATGACTATTTCCTTGCTTCCGCGCTCAAGTGTTCTCTGAACGGCGGCTCCCATCCAACTGCATCAATTCTTCGAAAGTCAAAGTCAGATTACGACTGATGGTCAGTCAGTCAGTAACTCTTGGTGTCGAGCCCCATCTGGGGCTCATGACCAGATGTTTATTATTGTTTGGCCGTTACGGTCTTGTTATTGTGGCGCGCCCTCTCTGATGAGAGGACTGGTCTGTTGCTTCAATTGGTCTCCTTATAACTCATTTGCACCGACAAAGTAGAAAAAACATTCTCCAACAGTACCGCTGTTGTTTCATGCGTATCCGTTGCCACGGAAACGTGTTTACTAAGCCATTGCCTAGCAACTAGTGTTGTTTCAGAGCCATTCGCTAGCAACGGCTGTTTCTCTGGCTCCACAGTTGTTGCTGTGACCAAATATGCCACAATATATGTGTGTGTTTTTTCTGAGGTCAAAAGTAGAATTCTGAAAATAACTGAAATAAGGATGGAAGAGCATTGATGATGTGAAGGATTCAGTACAGTTCTGTAGTTAAATTTACCATTCTTTGGATTTTATGAACTATAAACTCGCGATTGCAAGATGGGAACACTAAACATTTGAATATTAATTCCAGGGATAGCTTTACTTTTTTTTCCTTCTCCATTTATTTTTTAGCCAACAGTAGCTCCTTGCAGTCGAAATAAACGGTGACATGAAGTGGTCCCTGCCTCTGAGGCGACGTTATGAAGATGCGGTGCTAGGTTTCTAAGTTGCGCGTATCTTAGCTTCGGCACTGTTTGGGATTAGATGTTCAGCTTGAAATTCTGATCACTTTGCCTCCAACTGCTCAAGCGGTTATTCGCCGGCGGCCCGGGTTCGTTCCCAGCTCAGGTCACATAGGATTTGTGGTGGACAAAGTGGCACGGGCACATTTTCTCCTAGTACTTGGGTTTCCCCTGCCAATTCTCATTCCATCGACTTCTCCACAATCACTATCATCATCTATCATCCGAGGCTGGTACAGTAGGCCAAATGGTGCCGACGTACCCACAGTCTCACCCCACCCAAACTCTCGTCTCTTCTTCTCCAGATGAGATGGACACAGACGGTTAACATGGCATTTGGTAGACCTGCCCCCTCTTTCGTATTGAATATTCCCTTGCTTGTGTGGCACGTGCTTGCATTCTTTATAAAGCTGTCGGTTTTCTTATCTGTCACGGTTCCTGGGCATTACTTTCCGTTTCTGGAATAGTTCGCCGCTACATCCCACTCTGTTGTTCTTAGCGTTCGCTCGCAGCTCTCTGAGGAAGGATGGTTGCTGCAGTGAATGACGACGTCTCGTGCTGCGTTCCACTACGCGGGTGCCTACGTCGATGGCTTCGAGGGCAGTCATTCGTTCCCTCAGTCACATGTTTTGCTCTAGAACGTGCGAAAAATTGGTGACCATTATGCTTTTAGTAAACCGGCAATTGAGTGGGAAGGAAACAGATATCCTGGCATGTGTTGCTTCCTTGTATTCGCCTACAGTGGAGAATTATTAAGCGCGACGTCCCGAAGGCCTATAGGTGGCGTGTAGGTAAAGCTCCAGGCATTATAGACTATAGACTGAGACGAGTTCTATATTTCGGCCGATTTTGTCACCGGAGAAACCATCTGATATAATATTTGATTATTTTATATATTTGGGGCACGCTGTAAAGTAGTTGATTGAGGCACTGTGCTACAAACTGGAAGGTTACGTGTTCGATTTCCAATGAACTCGAACCCGCTTAACCAACTAGGTTACTTCGTGCCTCCGTCCTGTCCATAGCCAGTCAGTTTATTGGCTGAGCAGTAGGCTTATCAATATGTTGAATGTCGAAACTGGAAACCTCCTTTTCAAATTGTGTTATCATTCGGCGTGAGCTGGGATAGCGTAGTCTTTATAACGACTGGGCTACCGAGGGGTCGGAGTTTGTGTCTGTACTGCCGTGGTGCAGGGGGGCGTGGAGGTAACCCTCCCGCTGCCGCCACTGTTATGCCCTAGCAGCGCAGGGGGGGCGTGGAGTCAGCCTCCTCTGCTACCACCGTAACACTGCAAGTAGGGGGGCGTGGAGTTATCCCTCCTCGCCTCCACTGGTTAGGTCGTAAACTGGTACTACTGGTAACGTCGTGCCGTCGGGGGTGTGCAGGTACCCCTCCTTGCCTCCACTGGTTATGCGGTAAGGCGTTAACGCAACCATCCTAGCTTACCCTTAGCTAGGATTCTCCTATATCGGAGTTTCCTTCTGTCATACAAGCTGCCACCATCTATTTTCTGTTCTTTCAATTGTGGGGACTACTCCCTGGCATGTAGTCATACCCCTTCTTGACCACTCCTCCCTTAGTTCACAGGTAGCGTCTAAATACTTATTAACACACTTTATCAATACGTCTTAAAAGGGTGTTGCTGTCGAGGCTACCGTACTCTGCCTGTGTGGCAGGAGCCTATCCCTGTCTATTCTTATCTTCGTCTTCGGCTGCCACTGCGGCCTGTGTCAGTTCTGCCCTCGCTCGTCAGGA